GCCAGGCCGAGGTAACATCACAGCTGGGCATCAGGGTGGCGCACGCCCATGCTCCTTGAGGGAGCACACAGAGCAGCCCAGATGGGGACGCAACTCACACACCCAGCAGACAAGTAAAGAGGGGGCACAGCCAGGACCCCATGTGGGCACCACTGTTCACTGACATGGTCCCTTTAACACTGCAGGTGGTGTGAAATCAGCTCCCAGGCTGGTACTGACAGGGAGGAAAACAGACAGGACAGAATGAGGCCAGGATTCCAGCTCCCCTCTACCACTTCCGACCAGAGTGCCTGTTTGAAGGCAGCCTAACTTCCCAAGCCCAAGCTCCAAAACTAGAGCAAGAGACTGGTGAACTGCCGAGCGCAAAGCTGAGTGGCCAGGCGTGTTCGCCACTCCTCAGATAGGTACTCGTGAACTGCTGCTCCTGCCTTCTCGAAGGCCTGTCAGCACAGGGCCGAACTAGCCCTCCGGCTGCTTAGAGCGGGTCCATCTGTGGCTGCTCAGGGGAAGACATACAACGCTCTGCCCTGAAGTAGCTGAACCGGGGGTCTGGGGACCTGCTCACTTGCTACCGCCGAGCTACAGCCCAGTCTCAAGTTTCTATTTCCATTTCACATGAAGGCAGCACTGTCTCTTTGGGTCATCACTGACAGTTTTTCTCTGTTTGCGTAGTTGTACATGTTTTAAAGGACTGTCTCGGGTCCTAACAAGCAAGCTTATCAGCGCCTGAAAGGGTCCTGAGAACCAGCACAGAGAAGCCCTGATGGTTACACAGGAGGACACTGGATTTGAAGCCAGCAATGGCTGGAGGGAACCTTGTCCTGCCCCCCTAAGTGACAGCCCAGGCACCAGGCACCAGTTGCTTGCAGAATCTCGGGCTCCCTCAACTGCCAAGTGCCAGCCCTGGCCTCCGCTGCCAAGAGGCAGCTGTGGTTGGGCAGGCCTCCACCACGCCTGGGAGCGGGGCAGCCACTGGAGAGCGAATCCGTTTGCGCAGGCTGGGCAGAAAGGACAAGCCGGCGTGTCTTCCCGTGTCGGGAAAGCCAGTCTGCAGCAGAAAATGAGCTTATGAACCACCGCTCCAACCGGCCTACATGGTGACTGTGTTCCCTGGCCCCTTGTCTGGGGATAGACACCCCTCGTGAGTGGCGGCTCTGCCTGTTGCTACCTGAAGCTCATGCTTCTTGCACATGCACAGCTCAGGGGCCCCTCAGAACTATCGGGGAGTCAGGGATTTGCCAGGTGGCAGGTCTGTGGCCACTTGCCACACCAGAGAAAGGGCCCGGGCAGAGAAAGCTACAGTTATGGTGCCTACCGGAAAATGACAGCATGGGCTGAGGGTAAAGTTTGCATGGCCTCGTGTATGAACGGCCCTAAACACCACCGCAAACAAACAAAAACAACAGAGAAACGTAGGGATAAGGTCAGAACACTGGCAGTGGAAGTGAGCGCAGAGCCGTCACCTCCTCACCTTAGCATCATGGCTCCGCAGCCAGCGTCTCCCCTCGCCCACCTCTCCCGGGGGCACACTCTCCCTGGACCTTGACTTTGCCGGTTCCCTCTCACCCATCTGCTCCACCTCTGCTCCCACATCTTCACCCGCTGATCTTATCTGAGTTTCAACTGATGCTCAAAATCACAGTAATCTTGACTCAGGTTTCTGCTCACGGCTCTTTCCTACGTACCAGGAAGTTCATCCTCAGCCCTGCCTATTACACACGTCCACCGGCATGCCCACTGGTACGACACGGCACAGGTCAGAACAGACTTGAAACCTGTTAGGCTACAAAGGCGCAATCCAGGCCAGCCTGAGCCTTTCTGCCCGCTTCTACCTGATGCCCCTCACAGCGCAGCCCGCTTTAATCCCTAGTGCTCACCCACCATGCCCCAGGCTCCCCGCCACACGAATGCAGCAGATCTCAACAGCTTTCCTGAGCCCAAATATCCTACTCCAATCAGACGCAGTGGCCTTCCTGATCCAGGGGTCAAGTCAGGCCCCATGCAGCCTCAAGTGCACCAGGGCACTGAGCTTGGCTGGACTCAGGGGAGATGCTGTCAAATACACAGTATGTGTGATCTGACAACCAGGCATGAGAAAAAATGACCATATGAGAATCACTTTTTCATAGTTACTGACGTGAGTCACAAACTAAAACAGTAATGCTTTGGATAGAAACATATAAACAGAACACATCATAAAATTAACGCCTCCCAATTCATTTGATCCTCTGTAAAACTACAGAACAGCCAGAGTAGCCTACGTGGCAGCAGGAGGGATGCCTGGAGAAGAGCACTGGCTGCTCTGGCAAAGGACCCGGGTTGGATTCTCAGCTCAGAACTGTCTGTACACAGAAGTTCATGCATCTAAACACCTACAGACCAGCTCTCACACTGTGTATTGTGAGCCTTTGGGGTCACCTATCAGATATACTGAAGATCAGATATTTATGTTAGATTCTTTTTTTAATAATTTATTTTATTTTATTTTCTGTGCATTAGTATGAAGGTGTCAGATCCCTTGGAATTGGGGGCATAGACAGTTGTGAGCTGCCATGTGGGTGCTGGGAATTGAACCCGGGTCCTTTGGAAGAGCAGACAGTATTCTTAACCACTGAGCCATCTCTCCAGCCCCCTTATGTTAGATTCTTAACATCAGCAAAATTACAGTTATGATATGATAATGAAAATTATGATATGATAATGAAATATTTTATGGTTGGGGCCACCACAACGTGAGGAGCTATATTAAAGGGTCACAGCATTAGGAAGGTTGAGAGCCGCTGCCTACATACATTAAATAAAAAACTAAATAAAATACTGTATGTTGAGTCAGGCTTTACGGCCCATGTCTGTAAATCTAGAATTCAGAAAGTGGTGGCCGAAGGATCAGGAGTTACAGACCAGTCCCAGCTACATAGCAAGTCTGAGGCTAGCCTAAGCTACATGAGAGTCTTATCTCATAAAATAAAAACAAAAAACTGTTGCTCATATTCTACAAAACAGCACGCACACAGAAATCCCCTGACAGGTGAGGCTGGCAGCTGACACCTTTAATCCCAGCAGTTGGGAGATAGCAGCAGGCATCTGTAAGTACGAAGCCAGGCCAGTCTATACAACAAGTTCTAGGCTAGCCAGGGCTACAGAATAAGACCCTGCCTCAAAAACACAAACCAAACAACAACAACAACAACAACAACAAAAATCCCCCCCAAAATAGGAATTCTTGGCCATCTGTACCTTACTTATCTTCCAACTTCTTCCTCCATTTCCCGCTAAAACCCCCCTGTTCTGCTTTTCCTTGCAGGCCCCAGAATAATCTACTGGTTTTCTGGTCTTTGTATCAGGCATGTTCTAACCAGCTCTTACTAGTCCTGGAACTCTTGTTTTGTACTACCTGGGAAGCATTTCCTGAACACAAAGTGTAGTGGAATTTTAATCCAGCAACATGGCTGCTCTGGTAAGGGCAGATCCAAACACATTCCAGGTCTATGTATTCCAGCTAGAATGCAAGACACCTCCTGAATTACAGTATGATCTGGCTGGAATGCAGACATACCCTTAGTACACACCTTTAATCCCAAACAATGAAGGTAAGGTTAGCTTACAGAAGGAAGCAGCCATGTTTGAAAGTGATGTCTAACTGAGTGGCAGACAAAGTGATGAATGAGAGAAAGATTTGACAGAATAGGATACACTCAACTCTAACAAAAACACAACAGGAAAAGAGAGGCTACTTAAGAGCAGCTCAGAGAGAGAGGAGAAAGGTTTTATTAAGAGTTTTTTGTTTGTTTGTCTGTCTTTAAACAGGGACAGTATTATAGAGACAGGTTGCAGAGAGAACAAGCTAGACACAGGTGAGACAGAATGAGTGAGAGAATGAGGAGCCAGAAGATTAAAACATATTGCCAGAATTAGTGTGAGGCCAGTCAGAGCAATTAGTGAGAAGCCAAGAGAAGCCAGTGTGAATCAGTGAGTTTGGAATGTTTAGGCTAGAACAGCTGAGTTGAACCAGACAGTGAGAGTTCAGAAAGAGCTAGAAAGGCTTGGGAAGGCTCTCATCTCATCTGCTCATCTGAGGAAATAAAAACATTTACAACAAAGGCTGCTTATTGTCACACTCCTCCAGAACACCCTGGCTCCATGAAGACCCGACACACGCCCTGTACTGTCCTCCAGCTCAAGCCTGACAGCTCCTAGCTTACAGGTTCTCTGTATCTTCACCTGGTATCTCCAGAATAGTGATGAGTCCTCTGTGCTTACTGTGCTGGCTAGGAAAGGCTATGGAGCAATGCTGCCAATCAGCTTACTGCCTAAACTGGCAGCAAATAACAGAAACCAGCCTTTAAAATCGGCCATCAGCAAAGGTCAGAGAACAGGGGCTCTAAGTTTGGGGTTCAAAATGGTTGTGCCTTTTAGACACACAGTCTGACATGTTCTGCACACTTTCAAATGGCTGAGCTTATCCACCGGGCGGTGCTGCATCTTCGGCTTTGAACTCCGGAACCCCGTACAGAGTATGTTTACTCCAGAGTCGTCTGTGATTGACAAGGAAAACGGAGAATCCGCAGTGCACCACTCACAGCACACACCGCATGGGCGCAACCGCGAGAAACCAGGGAAGAGGACTCCCGTGACAGCAAAGGGCTCCCTTGGTGCACACACTCACAGACATCCACCCAGAACACAGGCGGCTGTGTAGTTCCGTGGCAACACAGCTGCTGGAGCGGAAGGCAGGGCGGCGCGAGGCGTGCAGGCCCCACCTCCTTAGGCAGCGCTCTCTGGCAAGTGCAGATTACCTTTACGTGTATTTTGAGCATGTGAATACATTCAAACACACGTATATAAATAACCAGATATAGACTTACAATACCCATGAGGGCTTTCTGGGTGCTGTCCTCCTATTTACTTCCATATAGCCTCAGAGAGATGGCGACCCCCCGACACCCGGAAATGAACACACGGAAGCAGCAGCACTGAGCCGGTGCCCTCGCCTCACCTACCATGATTTTCTTGTGGTCCGGGAACTCCAGGCCGAAGTAGTCGCCCTCCACGAGGTTGAGGTGGCTGCACACGGCGTCCAGCAGTGCCTTCCCTGGAGCGCGTTGCTGTGGACAGAAAGAAAGAGCTGGAGTGACAGGAGTCCCCGCTGGAGGCTGCCAGGCGCACAAACCACACCGCTCGTGATCCCTGAGTCGGTGGGACGCGCCACCACCCACCCTGTGGCATGCTGGGTGGCTGTGTCTGTGCCCTCTGATGCCAGGCTTGGCGAGAAAGCCACTTTCTCCCTGCTCCAATCCCAGGCTCAGCACCATCCCTTTTCTAACATCAAACTGAGTTGCTGTGTAGCCCGGCGTGGCCTTGAACACACAATCCTCTTGGCCGTGGAGAGCGAGGGCGGCAGGCGCTGGCATCTGTTTGTGAGAGCAGCTCTGGACTGGCTGCACACAGAGCAGGGAGCTGTGTTTCTCTCCCTGCCACACTCGGCTGTTGGCTGGGCGGGGGAGGTGGCTAAGCGGGAGAAAGGGCCTGCCACCAAGCTGTCAACTGGCCTGAGTTCAATTCCCAGGTCTCCACGGTGGACCACTCACAACCACGTGCTGCCTTGCTTTCTCTTTGCAGCTCCGTGGGTTCCTAAGATCTGGCTGGAAGTGGAATCAAACCCACACACAGCAAACCCCGGGAGGCGAATGTTCCAAAGTCACGGCTTCACATCTGCATTTCCCTCCACCACACACGCGACAGTCCAGGAGCCAAGTGACTCACACTGATACTGAATGACTGGCTGAATGACAGGGAGGGCCGAGAGCTGACAGCTACAATGAGTGTGCCCACTAGCCTGTCCACGCACGGCCACAGGGGCCAATAAACACGGTCAGTTGTCAGCTGTGTGCTCTGCACTAACAGACACTTTATGGCCCCACAGCTGCCACCACAGCAGCCTGGAAGACACCACGGCTACCTGCGGGTGTTCCGTGTCTCCTGAGGGTGATCTCGGCTCACTGGGCTGTGTCGGGTGTGTGTGTGTGTCACACAGAGCCATTTCACATGCACAGATGGCAGGAGCGCGATGCGACCACCAGAAATCACCCTCTGCCTTATCAAATGCATGCCCAAGCCCACCCACGATTACCCGGAGAAAGAGACGGGAGAGAGGAGCATGGACGTGGGCCGCTAGCCCTGCTTCCTGTCACTGTGGCACCACAGTCTGCCGCCTCCGCTCTACGGCGTGCACACAGGCATTTCCAGCAGGCCGACGGTGGGGATAATGACACCCTTGTGCCACTCCTGGGTTCCAGGGAGTAAGAAGCTACACCATCAGCTCTTCTGGAACCTTCTTTCCGTCTGTAACTCCAGAGACTCCAAAGACTTTAACAAAAACATTATTTTAAAAATGGGCCATGGGGGGAGGGGGATGGAGAGATGGCTCAGTGGTTAAGAGCACTCACTGCTCTTCTGAAGGTCTGGAGTTCAAGTCCTAGCGCCCACATGGTAGCTCACAACTGTCTGATGCTGTCTCCTCATCTACAGATGTACAAAGTGCCCAAATATATACATACACACATACGTAAATACATACATACATACACACACACACATAAAATGGGCCACAGAGTACGGTGTTGTGGAAGAGTTCCTATACCACACAGTATTTTAATTAATTTATTTATTACGTATACAGTGTTCTGTCTGTGTGTACACCTGCAGGCCAGAAGAGGGCACCAGATCTTATTATAGATGGTTGTGAGCCACCATGTGGTTGCTGGGAATTGAACTCAGGACCTCTGGAAGAACAGCCGCTGCTCTCACCCTCTGAGCCATCTCTCCAGCCATACAGCATGTTTTAAAGGAGCCTGCAGTGTAGACTTACAAGCCCAGAATGCTCTGCCTGTTTTAGGACCAATTATCTGTGCAGCTGGCAGGCACTCATATTTCCCAAAGAATTCCTGGAACTAAGGGAATCTGGTAACTTCAGCTCGATTCACAGAGCCTGAGAACGAAACCCCACAGTTCCACACTAGAATGTCAAACAAGCAGAGAAACCATTATACAACGGGCATCTCTATGGAGCAAGGTATCAGACTAAATATGTCTTAAGAGGGGGTGGAGGGTTACTACAGAAGCCAAGCCCTTCACTGACTCAGCAAGGCTCCCTGTGCACACTAACTTCCTGCCCTAAACCAGGCCCTGAGCCTCACCTCAGCCTTGCAGATGCCACCTACGTCCTGTCACAGGGCAGCACCGAATAACTGACTGGGCTGGGTCGTAATAGTGACAAGCTGGACCTCAGTCCACAGAAAGGTTCGGAAAGTTTACTCCTGCGTTCACATTTCCTTAAAATGCATCTTCGGCACTGGCTGTTATTTGACACTCGGACTTTCTGTAGCTGCTTCCTGGCTTCCATCTCCAGGAGGCCAACTGGGCAGCAGTGTGGGCTCCCTGTGAATTCTGCACACCCAGCACGGAATGAGAACATTTCTAATGGCTTAAAGACTCAGAGCATGATGGTTTCACAACCCAATGGCCCTCTGATGTCCTCTGGGAACTCACCACTAACATTCCAACGGGAAGCAGGACCCTGGAGCCTAAAACACCTCCGGTGACAACCCGGAATACACTCAGAGACTCTGGGTTGGGGAAAACCATGCTGAGGAGAAGGCCAAGGCCATGAAGCGGCTGGCATACAGCACACAGGCCTGTGCTGAAGCCCTGAACCCACGTCAAAGCTGGCCGTGACAGCTCTCCAGGAACACCAAGGGGGACCCTCCGAGCTCACTCTAGCCAATCGTGAGCTCTAGGGTCAGTGAGAGACAGTTTCAGACTGCAAAAGAGTGTGAGAGAAAGAAATCCACACTCATGCACACACACACACACACACACACACACACACACACACACACACACACCTATAAATAGTCCAATCTCAGTAATGGGCCAGGGTGTAGCTTAGTTGGTAAATGGCTTGTCTAGCATGCAAAAGGCCCTCAAAGCAATCCCCAATCCTGCACAAACTAGGTGTGTGCTTGGAATTCCAGTACTTGGGGGGAGATAGAGTAAAAAAAGCCCTAAGTTCAAGGTTCCCTTCAACTACACAGGGCGTGGAGGCCAGCCTGGGCTACATGAGACACTCCCCCTAAATAAGCAGATAAGGTGTATGTGTGTGTCTGGGTGGTGCCGACAACAGTATCAGTCAAGGAGGAAGGCCACAAAGATCGGGAAGAAACATCCAGAAAGCTATCTTCTAAGAGCGGTCTGCATGTCAGGTGAAAATCCACACATGGCAGCAGTGACTGAATGTGACAGTGGTTTGCTATGGACATTTTATTTTTTAATTTTATTATACATGATTTTATGTCTACGTCTGTGTGCACGTGCCTGCCTGGTGCCCGTGGAAGCCGGAGGCGGGTACAGGCTCCCCCATAACTGAATTACACATGGCCACAGGTCACCATGTGGATGCTGGGAACTGAACCCAGGTCCTGAAAGAGCAGGAAACGTTCTTCACCACTGAGCATCTCTCCAGCCCCACTGGTGTTCCCTCCAGTATCCCACGTGTTTGTTCTTTCACACGTCTCTAAGGCTCCTATGGCTTATAGATATCTGAATCTGGCCACCCCACATTCAGTATTTGTTTGTTTGTTTGCTTGCTTGCTTATTCATTTGTTTGTCTGTTTGAAACAGGGTTTCTTTTTATAGCCCTGACTGTCTGGGAACTCGCTCTGTAGACCAGGCTGGCCTCGAACTCACAAAAATCTGCCTGGCTTGGTATTCTTGATAAAATATTCTAGAAGCATTTTCCTCATGAGAGGTCAAAGCGTAACTATCATGCTTCATTCTGGAGAACAAACTGATAATAAATGAAGCCACATAATCAATCTCTTGCTTTTTTCTCATCGACTACTCTTAGTTAACCTCTGAGAACGTCTGCGTCTTCATCTACTGCACAAACAGCTGGCGGCCTCCAGTGTCCCTGTCGCCTTTCTCTGGGCCCTAGAAAATCACATTAGGGGAGCGTACATGGGGAAGAAGGCCTCCAGGCGCAGGTTCTCAGGCCCAGTCCTCGGACGGAAACCTGGTCTCAGGCGCTTTGCTCTCCTGCGCCTCAAACTATTCCTGTGTGTTCAGGTTTCCAGACAGTCTTACATGAGGACATTTCTTCCATTTTCCAAAAGACCAACGTTTTGTGGTTGAAGGACAGAGCCTCTCCTTTCCTTACCTTCCCAAAGAGCCAAATAAATGGCTCTCCTACTTGAGGAAGCTTTCGGGAATTACCTCACACACAGAAATCTGTAAACTGTAACGTCTGACCAGGCTTACAAAATTCCCATCCGCTTGGGTTTCAGAAAGCCATTACTGGAGCACTTTCCCCTTTCCCCCCTCCCCTGCTTGGGTTTAGTGTAACCATGGCAACCAGGGCACACTCACCCAACAAAGGTATGGCTTCTCTCAAGACTCACCTCCTCTTCCTACCAGAAACAAGACACCTTCACCCTCAGGGCGTTACACCACACCCTGGACTTCCATGAAACTGGCGTTTCCAGATGGGGACACAGCTATAATAAACACAATAGCCTGAGAAGGCCAAAATACACTTAAAGGAGCGTCAGAGCAGGCGCTATGCTCTGCACAGGGTGATTCCCTACGGCCCTGAGACAGACAGACCAATCACAACAAATGGCGAGGACTACGTGGTTTGTTCCAGGACAGTGAGGGACTGTCTGAAAACCTAAGGTGGGCAGAGCCTAAGGAATGGGGCGTGAGGTTGTCCCTTAGCTACATATGTATACCCACACTTAGGTACGTACACGCACACACACTCATACACACCATACTCACACACATACACAAATCATACTCACTCATACACACTATCTTATACACACACACATCAGTCCACGTGTGCAGAATGTCAGAAAACAGAGTACTTGGCTGCTCTCTCTGAGGGCAGAGTGAGACTAGAATATCCAGGGAAGTGTAAAGAAAGCACCTAAACGGATCCTGACGGACGGAGAGTTTCCCAGGTGACCACACAATACGCAATGTGTGTGTCAGCACAAGGAACACATCTGGCGTCACACAGCAGAAATGACAATTCTGACGTGGGTGG